CTATTTGTATTTCTGTTTCTAACTGTTTTTGTATATTGGACAGCTTACCGTGCACGTTCCTGATATATATTTAATGTTTGTGTTTATAAGGGTGCCTACAACCCCATCCGTTTACAGTTTGCTTTATTGTCCAACGAAACCGTTTGAAACCAGTCAAGGGTTCGGTCCAGTCAAGGGTTCGGACCAGTCAAGGGTTCGGACTAGTCAAGGGTTCGGACCAGTCAAGGGTTCGGACCAGTCGATCTGATCTGATCAGTGGGTCACTTATTTAAAACATACTGGTCGGTGATTTGAGCTAACACATGAAGGATCTACTGGAAATTATCTACCCGAGTAATACGTGATTTGATTGATACAAAAGTATAACTTGCGTGTTGAAGAGCCGGTGACTGCTGGCAGCTCCTACAATGACGAACGGTCGACCTCAACCCTTATTTATCAATCGCTGTATCTAGCTTTTCTATTTTTTTTTCCGTCTCCACCACAATAAATGCTATAGTATCACTATAGTTGACTGGTGGAAATTTTGGAGGAAGGACGCTTTTTCTGGAGTAATAATTGCTTCTCGTTGTGTATATTGCGACCGCTGGTAACTACAGGTTATATGAAATTCACAGTAACGTCCGGTATTTCAAGAGAAAAGAAACTAATGAAAGTCACTCCACTCCACTAAGTACCATTATAATACTGGTTAGTTGCTACTACATCACTGTATTCTGCTATTCACTGGTATCACTAGATTATATGCGAGTACACTAGCAAGCCAGGAAGATTTTTAAAACAGCTGACCTGTGGTAAGTTTCTGGCGACTTCTGGCACCTGGCACCTGCCTCTATAGGCTTATCACTTCATTTACAAATTCACCTGTTTTTAAATGACACTTTAGCCTTTATCATCAATATACTAGGGAGCCACTGTAGTATACACTATACACTATGTATACTCAATGTTATCAGGGAGACTTTCTTTCCTCTGACACAAAGTTCAATTATTATTATTTTTTTCACACGGGACACAGGCCTATGATTCCCCTCTGGCAGTAAACTCTGCTAGGTAGTGCACACTAATTCTCCTTTTTTGACTCAGTATATAATGTTTTCCGCCCAAGATTGGTTCCAGGCGCTAGAGGGATGTATCGTATAGGATTGATGACACAAATTAAAGTTCTAGCACATAAGAGCGACCGTGAAAACACGAGAAAACCCGGAGCACAACGAGGCACGCTGACACTGGGGGAATCAGACTGGATATTAAGTGCTCTCTTACAGAATAAATTGACAAGCAAGACTATAGAGTGGCTATCTAATAAATACCACAAAGGTTATTTTTCTCTGGAGGAAATAAGAGTAGGGCTACAAGAATTAATTGTCCAACTACAGACCAGCCAACCAAGTACTTCTAGGAATGTAACAAATAATAACTCTGATGTATCTGTTAAGATTCATAAATGGAACAAATCCCCTCATAATTATAATAATTCATCCCATAATAAAATTTATATTGGAACATATCAAGTGGCAGGAGCCAGAAATAAAGGTTCACATCAAGTTAAGAGGAACGAGTACCTTAATAAGAGTGGCCTGGCTAATAATGGGCAAGATAAGCAAAAAAGGAGTTGTCATATTTGCTAGCGTAATGCTTATGATTCATGAAATATTAAGGTGGAAACATTAGAGGAACTTGGCAGATGTATCAGATGTTTAGTCAGTCATAATGTAAAGGGTTGTTATGCTAAACTGAATAATTATTATCAATGCTGCAAGGGACGGCATCATATTGTAATGTGTAAATAATAATAATCATAATAGTGATATAAACCCTGGCACAGCTGTTACTAACGCCAAAATAGCGGTGAATGTAGAAATTCATAATAAGAGGCTTAAATAAAAAAATGTAACTGCACTGCTAGACCAAGGATCACAATGCACATCCATAAAACGTAGTTGCCTTAATGGTATGAAAGTGCAAAAAGGGGGATCCTACAAATTTAAAATGATCTGGGCAATGAGAGAAAACAGATTGGATATTAAGTGCAATGTAGTTATAGTAGATAGGCTCCCACAGAAAATTTCTACAAATAGGCTTAGTGAAGCTACAAAAAAGGTCTTCACAACAGGGTGTAGATTTGGCACCTTCTTGTGTAAATAATGACTCTGTGGGGCCAATAAATATTTTAATAGGGAGTGATTATTATGCCTCATTGGTAAAGGGTATGGTAAGGAATTGCACTATCAAAAAACAGTGGGACACCATATAAAGTATGGTGGGCTTCCCTACTCTAATAATGAATGACTAGGGAATTCAGTAAAAGTGGTCACTGTATGTCTTAGTAATGAAAGAGTTCCCCAATCTAAATATTCCTTAACAGAGGATGATGTTGAGCCAGTATATAAACTGTGGGAGCTGGTAAGCATATCAGAATCAATGTGAATGAAGGAAGTCCAGATGATGTTTTTTTACTTGGGAACAATACCTGAAGTATGTTAAATATGAATCTGCACAACACTAGGTGTGACTCCTGTGGAAGCTGAATCATCCAGAATTACCTACAAATTAAAGAATGGCCTATGGGCAATTAAAGGCTCAGCTCCACAAATTGAGTAAGACTCCAGAATTATTGACTGTATATAATGATATAAATGAACAGCTAAAGAATGGATTCATAGAGAAAGTGCCTCCTGAGCAGACAAAGATTTATGGTCATTACTTTCCACAGCTACTACTCCCCTAGGAATTGTTATTGTTAAACTTCAGAGTTAAGAATTTTGCCTTTACAGCTGACATAAGTAAAGCTTTCCTTCGAGTGGGTTTACAGAAGGCAGACTGGGACTGTACCCGTTTCTTGGGGCCTGAGAATCCTAGTAACCCACTTAGCCCTCTGAAAACTTTTTGCTTTAGAGTGTATTATTTGGTGCTACTTCCAGTCCGTTCCTGCTTCAAGCGTCGATAAATGCACACCTTAAACGTACAGGTAGTCCACTGAGTGAAGTAATGAGTAAACAGTTTTATGTGGACAATTTCCTGGGTGTGATGAGGACATATGAGGAGGCTAACAAAATAATGCAAAGTGCCAATATGTCATACTAACGTACCCATGGGTATCTCATGGAACGATACCCTATTCCTCTCTGTGAGGTTTGTCGGGTCCCTGCTTCGGTTCTTCATTTTCTTGTAGATTGCCCAGTTTACCAGCAAGCTCACAGGATTTACCTCCATTGCGGCCGCCCTACCACTCTTACCTCATCTTCCCTTCTTGCAGACGGTCCTGCCTTTGACCTACGATCACTTTTTGACTTTTTGTCAGCAACTGCGTCACTATATGAACTTTGACACATAGCCCTTAGCATCCCTTCCAGCTCTTTTCTTCCCTCAAATCTGATCCCCTCTCCACCTAGCTGTTTAGAGCATTGGCACTATTTTCTGCCCCACAGCACTGCATGACCCTTGTTGGTTTAGCGCTTTATTTGATTATAATAAATACTGGTGCTAGTACTACTAATCCTGATAATAGTACTACTGGTGCTAGTACTAGTCCTGGTACTAGTACTACTGGTACCAGTGTTAGTACTACTGGTACTGGTGCTAGCACTACTGGTACTAGTACTGCTGGTGCTAGTACTACTCGCACTGGTGCTATTACTGGTACTAGTAGAGCTGGTGCTAGTACTACTGGTACTGGTGCTAGTACCACTTGTACTAGTACCAATACAAATAGTACTAGCACCAGTACCAGTAGTACTAGCACCAGTTCTACTAGTACCAGTAATAGCACCAGTAGTACTAGCACCAGCACTACTAGTACTACTGGTGCTAGTACTACTGGTACAAGTACTATTGATGCTAGTAATACTAATCTTGATACGAGTGCTACTGGTACTAGTACTACTGGTGCTTGTCTTCAAGACACCTTGGTTGTCTTCAAGACACCCTGGTTGCCTTCAAGACTCCCTGAATGGGTCTTAACATCCTTTCTATACTGACCAGGCATCTCACGCCAATCATGCCAAATTTGGAGGCAGGAAAAATATAAATTTGACTATGTTTGCAGTGCTAGCAGTTAAAGCGTAGATCTACGTTTGGAACGCTAGCAGTGAAAACATGGATCTTCATTTGGAGCGCTAGCAATGAAAATGTAGATCTACATTTTAAGCACTGACAGTGACAATGTAGATCTATGTTTAGACAGTTAAGGGGTTAAACACAGAAAAAGTTTAATGACTACTGAAACTACATCACTACAGTTGGTATATATTGTAAAGCTGATATATATTGTAAAGTTGGTATATACTGTAAAGCTGATATATATTGTAAAGTTGATATATATTGTTAAATTGATGTATATTGTAAAGTTGATATATATTGTAAAGTTGATATATATTGTAGTGATATATATTGTAAAGTTGGTATATATTGTAAAGCTGATATATATTGTAAAGTTGATATATATTGTTAAATTGATGTATATTGTAAAGTTGATATATAATGTAAAGTTGATATATATTGTAAAGTGATATATATTGTAAAGTTGATATATATTGTTAAATTGATGTATATTATAAAGTTGATATATATTGAAAAGTTAATATATGTTATAAAGTTGATATATATAGTAAACTTAATATATGTTGTAAAGTTGATATATATAGTAAAGTTAATACAGTGGACCCCCGGTTAACGATATTTTTTCACTCCAGAAGTATGTTCAGGTGCCAGTACTGACCGAATTTGTTCCCATAAGGAATATTGTGAAGTAGATTAGTCATTCAGAGCCCAAAAACACGTACAAACGCACTTACATTTACATAAATTGGTCGCATTCGGAGGTGATCGTTATGCGGGGGTCCACTGTATATTTGTAAAGTTGATATATATTGTAAAATTGATATATATTGTAAAGTTAACATATATTGTAAAGTGATATATATTGTAAAGTTAACATACATTGTAAAGTTGATACAAGCTGAATCATGGTAAAGCAGCATCTGTATAAAAAAACTCACCTTTAAGTTTGGTTGTTCCACCATCTTCAGTTGACTCACTGACCTGAAAAACATAAAATATATTCCATTGCTAAAGTCAGTTTCCAGAATTTAGAGAAAAGCCACATAATACATTCTCCATTGTTTTATCTAAATTAGAAAAAATGTGTGGGTCAATTTTAAATAGGAATTCAATTAACAATATAAGAAGTAAATAATCATGTGATGAATTTATAACATGTTTGTTAGTGAACAAAAAAACATGTTTGTTAGTGAACAAATAACATGTTTGTTAGTGAACAAATAACATGTTTGTTAGTGAACAAATAACATGTTTGTTAGTGAACAAATAACATGTTTGCTGGACGAACAAATAACATTTAACCCTTTCAGTGTTCTTTACAAAGATCTACATAATAATAATAAATAATAATAATAATAATAATAATAATAATAATAATAATAATATAATGTAGATGAATGGTTCAGAGAACCGACAAGTTGATAAATAAAACAAGTGTGCAACACTTAAGTATCTTTAATGAAGAAACGTTTCGCCACACAGTGGCTTCATCAGTCCATACAAGGGAGAATGGTGATGAACAGTAGAAGTGTGAGGTAATCAGTCCTCTGCCTGCAGTATATAAGCCACTTCTTCGCACATATGCTGTATTCTTTTCAAGATTGATGAATTGATTACATTGATTCAAGACTGAGGGACTGATTACCTCAAACTCCTGTTCTTCACCATTCTCCTTTGTATGGACTGATAAAGGCACTGTGTGGTGAAACGTTTCCTCATTAAACATACCCAAATGTTGCACTCGTGTCTAATTTATCAATAATAATATCTTTATTTACTACAAGTACATGTACAAGGTATACAGGCCTAGCTGACATCAATGACATACTAGTATGTAGAAAGCCGCTTATTATGCAAAAACTTTTTCGCGCAAATTACGCAGTTTTGTCCCAGGATGCGACCCCACTCCAGTCCAGTAACACCCAGGTATCCATTTTACTGATGGGTGAATATGGACAGCAGGTGTCATGGGACGGATGGGAGAAGACGTTCGCTCAACACTCTACAACCCGTCTTCAAGGTTGCAGGTGGCACGTCAGTTAGCCAAGGCTAACCTAAAGGCAGCTCAAAATCAGATGAAACAGAGATATGACAAAAGTGCAAAATTTCCCGCCCTTCCATCCAGGAGACAAGGTGTTGGTGCAGGAACCTATACCTGGGCACACCTTGAAAGCTAGATTTGGGGACCTATGCAAATTGTAAGTAAATTATCTGATGTAAATTATGTGGTAGCTCCCATTGATAAGACCTCAAAAACTAAAACTTACCACATTAATCAATTAAAATCTTTTCATACACCAGATAAAGTCCCAGTAATGATCTGTCCTCTTCCTCTAAAAGGGCGACTCTGATTCTTTGCACTCTATTTCTGAAATTAATGTTAAACTTTCAAACTCTGTCCTCCTCAAGGACCCACCCTTTAATGGAGGGACTATCTGAAACGCAAGCAACAAGTTTTTAAATGAGCTTCTACAGTCATACCCTAATATTTTTTCGGATGTGCCGAAAAAATTTTACGTTAGGTTATCATGATGTAGATGGGGAAACTCTAACCTATTAAACTCTCCCCCTACAGAGCTAATCCTGAAAAGCAGAGGCTACTTCAGCAGGAAGTAGAATTCCTGTTAGAGCATGGTTTAGTGGAGGAGTCATCTAGTCCATGGGGTTCACCGTGCATCCTGTTAAAAAAGCTGATGGAGGGTTTCTATGTGTACAGACTACTGTAAGGTGAAAGAGGTCACAATCACAGATGCTTACCCTCTTCCTCGTTTGGATAACGTAATCGACTTTGTGGGAAAGGTTACTTTTGTGTCCAAGTTAGATCTCCTTAAAGGTTACTATCTCTGCCTTTGAATTGCAGGAGGTCATTAAAATATACAGTTAAACCCCCTTCAGAATGAAAAAAAACTCCCCCTCTTCATTCCAGAAACTTAAACCATCAGGCTATTAAAGGACTTGAAGGCACGGCAGCGTACCTGGATGGTATTGCTGTGGTGTCTGATTTTGGGATCAACACCTATTTAGACTTAAGGCTCTTTTTGAGACCTTTCAGAGCTCCCATTTAAATGTTTTAAATTTTTCTAAGTCTTCCTTTGGCCAGGCCACTGTTACTTTTCTAGGCCATGAAGTAGGTAGTGGTAAAGTTGCTCCTAAACTTGCTAAAGTTCTTACCATTAAAGATTATCCAGTTCTCATGATAGGAAATCTCTTCAACGTTTCCTAGGCATGATAGGATTTTACAGAAGATTCTGTAAGAATTTCTCAGATATTGTAGCCCCTCTTACCAGTCACAAAGTTCCCTTTAATTGGACCCCCGAATGTCAAGGTGCTTTTGATAAATCAAAAAGATTATTGTGTACTGCACCCATTCTTTGTCTCCAGACTTCTCCAAACCTTTTTCATTACAGGTTGATGCTTGTGAGGCTTGGGGTTGGGGCAGTAATACTGAAAAACGGGAACGAGGAGTTGCAGCCTGTAGCCTATTTCTCAGCCAAATTCCAGCTGCATCAGAGGGCTTACTCTACCATTGAAAAAGAAGCCCTCACGCTGGTACTGGCTTTGGAGCATTTCGATGTTTATGTGGGCCAGACATCGCAGGTGGTCACTGTCTACAGTGATCACAATCCTCTAGTATATCTCCAAGCCATGAAGAACCACAACACAAGGCTCATGCGATGGACATTAAGACTGCAACTCTATTTTTTGAAAATTGTACATATTGCCGGCAAAGAAAATATGTTGGTAGACTCCTTATCTAGAATCTAATATTATTTATAATTGTATATTAGGTTAGGATGTGTTAGGTTACTTGTGGTAACCCCTTCCAAGTTCTTTTTTTTTATCCCCTGGTGTGGGGATTTTTTTTAGTGAGGGGATGCGGGCTACCGTCTGCCTGTATCTTGGACCTAAGCTAGCCCAACTGTCTGCTGTCTCGCTCTGAGTTTAGGGTTTGGCTTTCTGTCATGAGAAAAGCTGAGCTCTATCTAAGAGTTGGATAGTTGAGAGGAAAGGCGGTCCCATTATTTTGTGCATGGTGGCATGGTTACCACTGGGAGGTGGCAGCCTAATCCTGAGCCTTCTCGGGGTGGGGGTGTGGCATGCAAAGAGTACGTAACCTTTGTTCGGCGCATGTACACACCCTCATTCACAGGCTATCTCCCCCAACCAGCGAACCAGGTAACTGAGGGCTGACAATGGGGCCCCGTCGTTCAACCAGTAACCAGGTTCCAGCCAATAAGAAGATGGTTCTGGCAATCACAGAGGTTATGTGGGTACCACTCTCCTGTCTGCCCTTGTCATTCCCATTCTAGAGCTGGTTGAAGCACGGTCTGCTCTCTAGTGGCTTCTATTCTGCCTTGCTTACCGTGGAGTGCACTAATACCTATCACTGTACATAGTGTATATAGTGTACATACTGCTGTTCTAAATTGGTGAAGGATAATATAAGTCAAAACTTTTCTGCTGTGTTTATTTTGCTCCCTTTACACCCAGGATAACAGGCCATTTGGAATCCTGGATTGTAATAGTCCTCCTGCCAGCACTCCATGATTTGTTCCTCACTCTTCTTACAAATGTGTCTCCTGTGTGCCTATTTGCCTGCTACAAGCAAATATCCAAGTAGTTGACATGGGTTTAGCAAGCACATTCAAGCAGGCTTAAAAGCAGCACTCCAAGCCAACTAGGACAAACTAAGGTAGTCTGCAGTTACAGCTGTCCTGACCCCCTGCACGTCTCTGTATACGTCCAACAGTGTTGCTGGCATACCAGTGTTTCTGGTAGTGGCTTAGTTAAGAACAATTTAACGAGCATTGCAGTATAACTAACCGGGTAACTCCTTTGGCCACCAGAGATGGCTTTTTTAAGTGGGACATGCCAGAGGTTCATCTATAAACATAGTAAGTTTGTGCTGATTTGCTTATGCACAGAGTGAACATTGGTCTGTCATATGTGTACTAGAAGTGTTAAGTGCTGCAGGTTTGTTGTAGCTATTTGCACAAGTATTGCAGTGGATTTCGCTGACCCAGGACATTGTGCGAGCATCAGTACCAACGCAGGCTTAATATGAGCGAGGAATGCCTGGTCTGGTGGGTGACCTTGAGAATGGCACTATATTCAATTCAATTCAATTCAAGTTTATTCTCTATAATGGTTACAATGTGGGGTTTACAGGTTTTGGGTATTTTGTGGTTTACATGTTATAAAATACTAATTACAGAGGGGGCCACTAGGACACCTAGCATGGCTAGGCATTTTGAGCAGACTTAGATTAATTCTTAACATTAAATCCTTACAGATTATAGTATTAAGGCTAAGTGACTACATCATAATTTGTGAGTTTAGCAATGTGAATGCTTTTGTTTTGGCACAATACAAGGTGTCTATATTTAAGTATCACAGGAAAACTTATGACTAGTTAGGATTTATTATTTTAAGATTAAGATTAGTATTTCTGGGTTTATAGTCAGTGGGTGAGTGAGTGTAATTTTGAACCGCCAGGTGGTTATCATGTAGTTAGTTGTTGGGGTGGATCAGGGAGATAAGATGTTTTCTAACTGTAATTTTGAGTGATGAATGTGTCTGCAGTTCTAGAGTTTTCAGGTAGGGTGTTCCAGATTTTAGGTCCTTTGAAATACATTGAATTTTGGCAAAGGTTTAGTCGAATATGGGTGTGGAAAATTTTATAGGGTGCTTACCTGTATGTACCTCAACATTATATACATACAAGTATATAATGCCGGGAGCAATGGGCTAGTAACCCCTTCTCCTGTATACATTTACTAAAAAAGAGAAGAAGAAAAACTTTATAAAACTGGGATGCTTAAATGTGCGTGGATGTAGTGCGGATGACAAGAAACAGATGATTGCTGATGTTATGAATGAAAAGAAATTGGATGTCCTGGCTCTAAGCGAAACAAAGCTGAAGGGGGTAGGAGAGTTTCAGTGGGGGGAAATAAATGGGATTAAATCTGGAGTATCTGAGA